ATTGACCAGTTGGAATATTAAAAAAAAAAAAAATGTCCAAAGTTATTTTTATTAACTATCGCACACACGATCCCCGATGTTGGATCTTTTTTACCAACACACAAAAGTTGGCGTTCCTTCTTTTTCGGTCCGATGCTGAAATATAGCACACCCAGGCGCGAAATATTAATTTGCAGGAAATTATCGAGCTCGCTTATCGAAATGCTCGAATACGTAGACACTTTGGAAAGGAGACGAGGAATTAGTCGGAGGAAGAAGCTGAAGAGAGGAAGAGATGGAAGACCAGACTCAGATATTTAATCTGGTGCGGAGTGGGTAAGGCTCATCTAGACAAGAAGAGAGGGCCTTGTCGGACGAAGATCGAGCGGGAAGATAGCCGATACCTCTGGGAAATATCGGTATCGATAGGTGATCAGAGCTAAATGGTTTATGCGAGCGATCAACCTCCGACCCCTTGTAATAACCGGCAAGGAATCTGCCGCCTGATCTATTGGATCGAGAACTCGATCGAGTTACACCTCGGCGAAAGGGACTGTATACAGCCATATCCCTCCTGGTCGTCCTTTCCGCGGAATTCAGAGCGAGATAAATAGATATCTCTTTATCTTCGGTCTGGCTGCATTTTGATTGCGACACGGAATCTCTTTGCAAAGCGCGATTTAAATACAGATGGATCACGGTTCTCGTGTAAAATGACACCAATTTCTCTCGTTGTTTTTTTTTTTTTTTTTTTTTTTTTTTGACAAGCTTCGTCGAAATTTATTCGGAAATTTAAAAACGAAAGATCGGTATTAAAGCGAGAGAAATCTTATGTATATTCCCTCTTTTCTGTCGCAATATTTTTTCCTCTCTCTCTCTCCTTTTTCTTATCAGCTAATTCATATATAATTTACATTTATATTGGAATTATCTTTTTATAAATATTAATTCTACACAATCGCGACCTGTCCGCTTTAATTAAGTCTTTATATATAAAAATGATTATGTTCATAAAAGTATATGGATGAAATTTGAAAATAATTAAATTTTATTTCTTTTCAACAATTTGAATTTTAAATTTATTTATCCCGATTCGGTTTTAGATAGTATATAAGAGCGCTCGATAAAAAACAAATCTATCATCTACCATAACATTTTCCTGCCCTTTGTGTAATCTTCACAATATATTCATTTATCTAAACGAGCAGCGTTTTAATCTCACGGAACCTGAGAATGATCCTTCATAAAGATTAAATCGTAAAATATTAATATAAGAGAAGAATCTTTAAATATTCCCCACACTTCAACAATTTCCGCGTCTCCAAGAATTGCGAGAGAAAACTTGAGAAAATTTATCAATCTGTCAAAAAAAGAAGTCCGATAAAATGCAAAGGAGTTTCTGACAAGGGGCGAAATTGAATTGCATTAAAGTCAGTAAATAAGATATTCTCTCTTATGATTAGGAGAGCGATACACATTCATTCGATCGACAATAAAAGCGTCCTTCCTTAATGAAGGAGAACGACCGATCGGGGATCTCGTAAATCGTCGGATTATTAATACCTGGCCATTCTCCGTGTGTGCGTGAATCCGGCAGGTGGCTGGTCGACCCTCTAATCGCGATCCCGGGATAATTTACACCCGTGTCCTCCTCGGGAATCATCGCAGCGTTAACGAATCATTTTCGCGTGATTTCCGAGACGCCCTCGAATCAATCCCGAATTTCAATATAACGCGATTCCTCTTACAGAAAAATCGTAAAAGTATGATTTGTGTCTTTAATTGCTCGGAATTTAATCATCGTTTATTATTATATATAGTAATAAAAATTATATATATATTTTTTTATATATATATTAATTATATATATATTATATATAAAATTATATATATATATTTTATATAATCTAAATATTATTATTAATTTTTTAATTATATATATTATATATAATAATCATTTAATTTTTTATCATACGTCAGAGTTTTTCAAAAATATTTTCTGCAGTCCAAACATATTTATTGAAAACCTAAAAATGCATCTCGCTGCATTTTTCGATACAGTCGACTGATGCAGCAGAACGTTTTAATTATATTACATGTATAATAATAAAAAAATATTATATATAATTATTTAATTATTTATCATACGTCAGAGTCCTGGAAAAATATTTCTGCAGTCCAAACATATTTATTGAAAACCTCAAAATGCATCTCGCTGCATTTTTCCATACAGTCGACTGATGCAGCAGAACGTTTTAATTATATTACATGTATAATAATAAAAAAATATTATATATAATCATTTAATTATTCATCATACGTCAAAGTCCTTGAAAAATATTTCTGCAGTCCAAACAGATTTATTAAAAACCTAAAAATGCATCTCGCTGCATTTTTCCATACAGTCGACTGATGCAGCAAAACGTTTTAATTATATTACATATAAAAATAAAAATATATTACATATAATCATTTAATTATTCAGTCCTTCAAAAATATTTCTGCATGCCAAACATATTTATTATCGTTTTCCTCGGCGATCAGGGAGCTGCTTTGAACTTGGCTGGACCAAAGAGGATAATTTTTCGCGCGCGACGACACAATGGGACGCGACTGGATAAGGATGAGGATGACGAAGAGAGGAGAATCGGGCGCAGTAATAGAGTCCTCGGGCGAGAGAGGGTAGAAAGCATCAGCCGTTTAAGCACACGGGGCTCCTCCGCTGGCTAATAATATTAACCGCGCCGCGCCGCGTCGCGATCGCACAATGGGCCCTTTGTGGAGGCGCGTAAATGCTCGTAACATAAATCGCGAGCGGCGACGCGCGCTTTATTGTCTTCTCGCGCGACGCGCGAATTACCTCCTCTTCCTTCCACCATCTCGCTCACGCGCGTCTCGGCGACGATTTCTATTCGCCAATGCAGCGATATGCCATTTCGGAGCTTTCTCTCTTATACTGTCTTCTCCACCCCGCGAATCTATCGCATTTGCATTTTCAAAGCCCGCTTTAAGCGATCTGCAATTCGCGACGAGACTCGAACGGAATTCTATATTCATCATTTTTTCTTGAATCAAATATACAACTACATACATATGTATATATCGTATATATCAAGATGCATTGTCGAGATATAGAAATATAATAAATGATCAAGTGAATATATTTGTTTTAAATAATATAGATGTAGTGTAAAATCTATATTAACTCTATATTGAAAATATATTATTTATTATATAATTGAATATATTAAATCTATATTAAATAATTCTTAATAAATTGAACTGATAATGAAGTCGTATATGTTTTTATATTAAAAGTTGCTATTTAAATTCCTTGTATATTAAAGCTTTTTTAAAATTATTCTACGAGAAATATCATCTTTTAAAATAATCCTTTCCTTTAATAATCGAGAGATGATAATATTAAATATTATTTCTAAACGCATCTATGGAATTTTTTATTATAGGAAATGCGTGTGCGTTGATGTTATAATTAGTAAAGATATGTAAAATGTAAATTTATTATCTACTTACGTGTATCTTGATAATGCACGTCTATCTTATAAGAAAGCTGCGTTCATTAAAAATCAAAGTAAGTACTGAAAATTCTGTCAAGAAAAAAGAATACAAGGTTTGTTTAAGATTTCAAAATCGGCTGCTATTTTTAAGCGCAGTTTTCTTTTTATGAAAAAAGCCTTATCTTTTTTAAATATAATTTATAATAATATATTAAATGTTATTTCTGTTGCGTCCGTAATAAATCAGTAATAAAATAAGACATGTAAATGTAGATTTTTTAAAAATTGGCTGCCATTTTTAAGCGCCGTGTTTACTTTTTATAAAAAAAAAAGCTTACCTTTTTTAAATATAATCCACAATAATATTAAATGATATTTCTGAAGCAAACGCATCAGTGGAATGTTTTTAATTATAGAAAATAAGTATGCGTTGATGGGTTAACATATAAGTAAAAGCATAAAGTGTAAATTTATATCTACTAAATAATATAAATATATATAGATCATAAATATATAAATATCAACATCAATAAATAAATCTATCTAATAACTAATTTAGAGGAGATCTGTAAATACTTAAATTTTCATGTATCTTTTTGTAATATATGTGCTCGTTGAAAGTCCAAGTAGACTAAAAATTCTGGCGAGAAAAAAGTCAAGGAGGATCGTTCGAGAAGAAGATTTCGAAATCGGCGGCCACGTTATTTTTAACAGCGCCGAATATAAATAGCGTCGCGCAACTGCAATATAACAGCGGAAGCGATGTTACATCGCGTCTATGATTTATGCGCGGCTCATTGTTCGCCACGCGACGCCGACAGCGGCCCGCAATATTGTCATATACATCGTTATTATTCTTTCCTCCTGCCCTCCGCGCATCGCGATGTTTAAACGAACAAAAGCTCTCGACTTTCAGCGAGAGAGCGTCCCGCGCTCTCGGGCATAAATCGCGCTCTCACGCGCATTTACATAAACATCGTATCCGCCGTATGGTGTCGCTGCGAGCGCCGTAAGGTGTCGCACTCTTTTAGGTAAATTCGGGAATTGATCTACGTCCAACGCGGGGAGAATAAATTGCTGGCAAAAAATTGCGATGTTTTCTCTCCCTGACGCTTTCACACTTAATCATCTCTCCGTATTATTCGATTATATCCGTCATATGGAATTTATTTGCAATTTTATTTAATATAAAAATATTAAAGTAATGAAAAATTGAGATTTAAAAAATTAAGAAAGAATAATATAAGAAAAAAAAATATGAATGGTACCTCTCCCTCAAAAAGTCCCGCGGACGTCCATGCGACTATGTTTAATTCCAGTTGGATTAAATGGAGTCGATTAATAAATTAAAAACTTTTTCTGAATTTAATTTTCCACTTACTTGACATTCTTGGTCTCGGTGGGCAAAAATCCTGTCTCTCGCGTCGTTTTCTTCCAGATGCACAGTGGAGAGGAAAAAAAGGATGGGACCAGGAGGGCGCAATGACTGAGAACGCCGGCGCGTGGTCTGGAGAATAAATTAATATATTTTTAATGGATATATGATAGGTACTGGTTTTTTCGCATATCCCGAATCATCTCGTATGGCAACTCTCTCTCTCTCTCTCTCTCTCTCTCTCTCTCATCACCTCTAACTATAAACTGACGACCTTGTCTTAGGGGGGTCGCGGGAGCAAAAATTCTTTGTACCGCGCTGTAATCACGCCCGCCTCTAGGATCTTTTTTTTAATCTATATACAATGCCAGGCAAATTTCTACCGCAGAGGTTCTTCAACTTTTACCTTCATTCCTGTGTATCTCAAATTGATTTATATCGCAAGGGGTATGCATGTGTTTTATTACTTCAAATAAATTGTTGGAAAATTTCATTCATTTCGCCTAGTTTATTCTATTTGCCCTAGAGAGAAATTAAAGTCACATCAATAAAATCGTAAATAAGTAAAGAGTTGAGAACCCCTGCCCTATTGCTTTAAATAATATCCGCGATCGACGAACACTGGGGTATCGACTATTTAAATTAAATAAAACAGACACTTCCCTCCCGCTATTTACATTAAATACACGCGTACGCACTCATACTCTTTCTTTCTCTCTCTCTCTCTCTCTCTCTCTCTCTCTTACCTCAAAGACAGATAACCCGCCTAGTCGGCGAGCTCGTCCGCGTTTATTGCACATTTTTTCATTCTTTTTTTTAAACGAAACACAATGGACGAAATCAAACGCACTCGATCTACGACGGTCACGCATGCATTCGATATGTCAAAGTGATATAAGTCTTGCCGATCCACGCCGATGAGATGCGATCTTTAGATCCTCGAATCCCTCCTCCGCAGTGAAAGAAAAATCGCGACTATATTTTCGGATTTCTCTAAAATTGGCGCTCTATCCATAGATTTTTTTTCCGCACATGCCCTTTAATTTCCTTCAAACTCGAATAAATCTTGGGACATCGAGCATCTAGACGCATTCACGCGACGAGGAACGTGAGAATTGTCTATACGCGAGAATATGCATATGATGAATCTATTTCGAGATTTCGATCGAAGCGAAAACATTCTGATAAAAACGTGAACGGGGAATATTACTTTGCCCGGTTCAACCCTTATCACGATTAGTCCTCTCGCGCAATTATCTCGACGAGGAGAACAAGTTCCACTTTTTTTTTCGCCCACGCGAAACTTCATCCGATGAAACTGCACTTCACCGTTCTCTCACTCGCTCCATATAATCCGGCTCACCTCTCGGCGTGCGTTCCTATCCAACCGTCCTGTTCACTACGTCGTGGAGGGCGATGTACAGGCCGAGGAAACGGGCGACGTCGGCGACGTCGGCGTCAGAGGCCTACGCTCCGACGCCGCGCTCGAAGTCCGGTTGTTGTTCCCCAACAGGCTGTCGATGGAGAACGGATTCAGCCTCTTTCTCTCCTCCCTGCCTTTCACCGAGAGATCAATGCTGCCGCTCTGGACCTCCTCCTCGTTGGCGGCCTGCCTGATCAGGTTGTTCCTGGTGCCGGTGCCGACCGAGTGTTGGCGGCCCGTTCCGACGACGCCCACCAGCTCGCGCCGTCGCTCCAGAAGGCTCAAGCCCCAATGATGGATACCGGGTTGGTGGTTCAAGTGCTCCATCGGCGGGTTCTGCGGATTCTTTCGCGGTTCCGCGATCTCGCTCGCGTTACTGTTGAGCGTCGGATAGCACTCGCCGTCCACGGAACCGTCGGCCGCGGAGTCGACTCGCTCGCTTCCGCTCTCGCTGCAGGAATCCAATCCGCCGACCACGTCGATCTCCTCGTTCGCGTCGTTGCCGGACGCGGAGATGCTGCTCTCGCTGTTCAGGCCCAACTGGCCGAACGAACTGCTCAGGGGACCACTCGCGGTGCCGCGACCCGACGCTGCCTCGCTACGAGATTCCCACTCGGCGCGCAGCGTCGACAGGTCCACCGTTATGCCCTGAAATTCAGAAACAACGAAAAGGGTTTATTAATATTGAAACGGTGTACCTAAATTTAATAAACGTTAGTTTAGGCCAAATGAATCAGATGTAAAAATAATAACCGGGTATTTCATTATGAACTTACAACATTTTTAAATGTCTATAAAATTATACGTTGTCTCCTTTTGCATATTAAATTGGTGATTATAGTTTATTCGCACCTAATCCTGCATCATTTATAGACATTTTAAAATGTTGCAAATTCCTATGTGCGAATGTCGAGCTTCTGCCAGAATTGTCAACATGGCCCAGAAGTGGCACAATATTGGCTGCCAAGACTTGATAGGTGGTACTGCCCCAGGATAAACCACCAGATCAATACTATACCAGTCTCGGTAATTGGTACTGTACCAATACTCCCATGCAATCATATTCTGTTCCGAACCGAGTCTCGTCTCAGTACTGATCGTGTATAAGGCCGAAAATGGTATTAATGGAAGCAAGCAACTTTGTCTGCAGCACGAGTACCGGTTCAAGTATACTGGAAGAAAATTGGGCTAATGTTTGTGTACCGTACTGACACAAAATATTTTCTATACCGAGCCAAATCTCGTATCAGTACTGAGCGTGCACTGAGGGCGAGACGTGAAATAGTACTGAGATGATAAAAGTTATGTTGGATAAAATCGTATATATTGGATCAGCACTGAGGATACATTGGGCCATACGTTGGTGTATGGCAACAAATATTTTTATTTTGAAATATTAATTTATAATGATTTTAAACATACCGGTTATTCTAATGTTAGATTTGGTCCAATACAGACTAATAAATATGGCCCAATATTGATAATGAATGTTGTCCCAGTACTAATACTCTGTGTCGGGCCAAAGTTGGCGCCGAGACTGGAACCCGTGTTATCATTCCGACATTGTCCCAATAATGACCCCGATCTCAACTTATACTGGCCCAGAACGTCAGCGACTTTGGCACCAGTATTGAGCCAGTACTGAGCCTTTTTGAGATTCGCACATGGGTTTATGTAAAGATCGTGTAGTCACACTTTTAAGTGTCTAATCGCTGTTATGCAACCGTCGTACAGAGTTTATATATATAGTGATAAGCGAAATCAGTATTTTCTGGAGAGAAAGATTATGTAATTTTTAAATTGCTGAAGAATATATATCTTCGCAGAGTCTCTCTTACTTTAGCAGCGAGCTTCCGCTGTTGTCTCTCGAGAGCCTTCAGCAACTTTTTCTGTCGCCTCTCGCGCTCCTTCCGTCTCAGCTCTTCCGGTGGAATAGGCTCGCCGCTACAACTCTGAGGATGAGCATTATGCGCCGGCCTTCCTGGGCCCTTTTTCGTGTGCTCCTTCTTCCGCCATTTTGCCCTTCGGTTTTGGAACCACACCTGGAACAGCGATAATCGAAAGACACGCTTAGATTATTATTTAGCGTACTTCGGGGTTAACTCTAGGCTATTAAAAGATAGAAAATGAAGAAGAGCATTTCATATCCGGGAAAATAAAATCGAGAAGCGTCGATCGATTTTAACCGCAATTTAACTCCTCCTTTTTTCGAAAGAAGGCGGATTAACTTAACCACCGGTTAAGCGCTAATTGACGTTGATGAAACCGCGCCGGGTTGTTTCCCCGCAAGATCCCTCAATTGTAACAGGTGCTCGGCCGTAACGTTACGTCCCGTAAATCTAAAGATCCCGCCCGGATCTTCCTCCCGGTGGAACGACGCGAAATTTCCCCGCGAGCTACTTAAATCACGGCGCCGCCCTCGCACGGCGCTATCAGTAAGCGACACGAAGGGCGGATGCATTAAGTTCCGAAATTACAGGAAGACTTCTGTCTCAGGAACGAAGGACCAACGACCCTCCCGGGTGTCCTGATTCATTGAGGACGACAACCCTTTGCTCGCGTGAACGCTCGTGGCATGAACGACGATTTAGGGCTAGCGTGAGCCGACCGGGAGAGCGCACTCGTGGGGAGGGAGAGATGAAGACATTAGTTGTACGGCACGGCCGGCGAGCGGCGCTGAGGTCACGCGAGCCGAAGATCAATAGATCACCTCCGGTGCTCCCCGAAACGCCACCCTTCGCTACTCTCCCACGTAGCTTTACGACTTTCTTCGACTTTGGGACACTTTACGTATCCCTCGGAATGAGCGCTAACCCTCTCCCTTTTTCTTTCCCTCTCTCCGTTACTCGCGATTAAACTTCGAACGGTGATCGTAATTAATTCGATTATTTCGACGACTCTATTAGATCCCGTCGCACGATCGGCCCATTTAAATCTCTAGCTTTTGGACTTTCAACCCGAAGGCTACTACTGTGATTAAGATTTAGAGGCACACCTGTGTGTTGCGGCGAAATTGTTTTCGACTCGATATTTCGATGATGGACGAAAATCTTTTTCTATTTAATTTATGTTTACGATAAAAGATCTAAAGAAGTGCAAAAGTTCGTAAAATAATATATGCTAGAACTTATACGTAAAGAGAAATTTTTTGTTAGAATTTACTCTTGGAATTTATCTCTTACTTATCTATTATCATTAAGATGGCTAATATTAAAATTAATCCAACATACTTTTTATCTTATTGCGGAAGATATTAATATTTTTTATTGCGATATAAATATTAATCAAAGTAAAAAAATTATTTCCGCGTAGAGTAACGTTAAATATTCCAAAACTATGAATAAAAGCAACATTCGACGAGTTTCTTAGCCGAAGAAATTCCGCTACCGAATAGTTGGAAATCTTGAAGGCGCCCTTCGGTTCAGAGAGACACAGCTGTAAGACATTTACGTTAACATGATGCGTGGGAAACATGACTTGAGGCTATTTGTCAGAAATTATCAGGCAACCGATAGCCACTTAACAAGCTGTTTCGTCCGATTACGTATAAGAAACGACCGAATATGGCTAAATAATAGTTTTTCCTTTTTTTTTGCAGCTTTACATTGTAAGATATAGAGCGCGGTATCTTTAACGGCGACACAAAAACTCGAGGAAGGAGCGACATCGTTGAAGATAACTGTAATCAAACTGCACATGGTGTCTTTGTCGAGAAAATAATGCATTCTACTATACGTAATTACGTTTCGACTAATTAATAAAGCATGCGTTTTCCTGCCGCCGTCTGAAGGGAAGAGCGTCGAGAATCGATTAAACTGCTACTTTTAATTAATCCTTCAATCTTTTGTTTTCACGCGACAACAAAGGCCACTCAATCAGCATCGTACTTTATACACGGGACTCAAAGAAACACAGAAAATAAATGTCCGACAAAAGAGCCGAGAGTATAATCATATCGTTATCTCAGAGAAACTCCATCCAATCTGTATTCGAAGAATGACATTGATTTCTTGCGGACCGAGTTTTGCCGCAAGTCAAGTGCGAACAATGAAAGTGCAATAAAACCATGCAATAATTGCGTCACGATTAATTGTGATACATAGTTTGTCGTTTTATCGACGCGGCTGTTCTTTTTCAAGTTCCTTTTCGTCGTCAAACGCAAATCGTGGCTCAATCGCGATAAATCAAACGCGCCGCCATTTTGTTCGCGATCACCCAAGTGTTTGCGATAATTGCAACGCGAGAATTAACGCGTTATATCTGCAAAAACGGTTTTCATTAAATTTTTCCTCTTAAATATATATTTAACACATGCATGTGTTAATTTTACATATTGCTGTTGCGTTAAAATTGAACTTCAATGTTAAATTATTAAAACGACTGAAAAAAAGTGCAAAAGTAACACAATGAGCATCTATTTTTAATTTTACATAATGAATTTGTTCTGTTTTATTAGCGGCAAAATTTATCTGTTAAAATTTACAGGGAAAAAATGTTAATTTTTTATCTCATAATATATATGTGAATGATATAAAATCTAAATTAACATATTTCTACATTAAAACTATGTAAATCTTACACAAAATTTATGTGAAATTACTTGAAGTTTTACATTTATTTTGTATATTAAAATATTAACACAGTGTTCGCTGTTATATTATGTTGAATTAACACAAAAATTCCTGTGGACCATTTGGAACATGTGAGATATCTGTTAAATTTAACACAAATTTTTCAACTGCGTTGAACGCAGAGATTTTGATCCCGGGAGTTCTCGGATTCTTCCTCTCGAATTCTCTTCCTCCCCGAGATCGTGGAGGAGTCCTCGTATCGGGAGAGATTTTGCCGAGCGAGATGGCGGAGACGATAACCCAACCGAGTGGTGACACAATGTGACACGATGTCGCGCAGCCGGTGCGCAGTCCTTTCGAAGAGACTCTTCCCCACGACAGGGAATAGCTTTCAGATTAGATAACATCGATCACTGAGTGCGATAACCCCCTTTCCCCTTTTAACGTATGCGTCTCTCCGAGATGTCGCAGCAGCCGGATAGATCGAATTTAAATTAGGAAAATTAAGGAAATTTCTGTGTTTCTGTAACTCCGAATTTTCAGTTGTTACATTCTCGATATATTATATTTTGGGGGAAAGTGTATGAACCCTTTAAGGGGATGCTGACCATGACTGTTTTATCGACTTTTTTTTATTGACTGTACAGATTGCAAAATCTTTACAATTAAAATATTGATGATAATGAACGAGGAGCGCTGTAATTTTGTATAAAAAAGCAATAAAAGTTAAAAAATTCAGCTCTTGCATCACCTCATAAGAATACTTATTTAATACAAAAGTTCTGCAGTTTACTTGTGCACAAAACATGGCGCTCTCAATAGAGATGACATGAAAGAATTAGTTGCCATTCATTATTATCAGTACTTTCATTGTGGAGCAATCTGTATATTTAATAAAAATTCAACCTAACCTAACTTTAAGCCGGTAAAACAGAACAACGATAGGATCCCCTTAAACCGTCCGATTTCGTGACACGTTACGCGGATTTATTTATTCAACGACGCGGTGTCAGTCAGAAATCGACGAGGCGATAGACAGGAATTTAAAATGACTTTGGGATCGAATTTCTCGAGAGGGTCGACACAGAGAGAGAGAGAGAGAGAGAGACCAGGGGGAGGTAGCTTCCGGCCTCGGACCTTTGCCCCCTCGCTCCCGAGGGGTAGTTAGTCCATCTGGTCCATCCTTACCTTCGAGATCCATTCGAGGGTGCCAAATCGACACAGATTTATCCACTCGGCGATCGTCCATTTAAATAACGCCGGCGTCGATAGGGCGTTATTGTTTCTGTACAACGTTTCTAAGAGGGTGTAAACCCGCTATTTTTATAATTGGTACAGCTGGATATCCTTTAAACTAAATTCCTTAGAAAATATTTCCAACAAGCATTCGATTGATTTTGTACAGAAAAAAATATAATGCAAAATATCGAAAGCAGAAATGCGAATGCTTCGTAGAATAGAACTTAACAGAGATCCATCTCGCTATTCTTTAATTAGCTAAACACTCTCAAAATTTAATTCTTTAAAAACAATTTTATTTTGAGACGGTTAAATACTCTCTAAATTAAATTCTTAAAAAAAAAGTTTTGTTTTAAACATCCAATGAATTTTGCGTAGAAAAAATATAATGCAAAATATCCAAAAGCGTGAATGCTTCAATAAATAGAGTCTTACAAAGCTAAACTTTTACCGATACAGCTAGACGTTCTCTAAATTAAATTCTATAATTAAATAAAAAAGAAATGAACAATGCAAGATATCGAAAGCAGAAGCGTGAGTATTTCGTAGAGTGGACCCTCGCAAAAATCTTTCTCAAGCGAGAATCTCTGTTCGCAAGAATCCGTCGCGGGACGTCGCGTGTCATTTGAGCCTCCGCGAAACTGTGGCATTAAATCTGTTCTGAGGAGGTCGGCCAGCCCACTTCCGGTATTCGGACAGCTCACGCCCGCGTTCGACGAACGCCAATCCAGCCGGATCCTTCGACAGGACCGCGAAGGGTGGACTCTCAATTTCACGGCCGGTCGGGCACACACGGTCACCCTCGGATCCTTCAAGCGGATATTTATATTTATCCGCTTAGACACGCGCGTTAGGCCGCGTAAATAGCGCATGCATCCGTTCCCTTCTTTCCTTTTCCCATACCGATTTTTGTATACCTCCCCCAGTTCTATATCTCATTCAACCTTCCTTCTTCAGTCTTCATTCTTATCAACCTTTTGCATCGTACTCCTATTACATTCCGCAAACGACTCGGACTTTAATTTTGCAATTCTATCTCCAGCTCTTTCTTTTGCGCTATTATTGGTCAAAGGAGAATCACGCGATGTTCACGTAACGAATATCGCGAAACTTGCACGGCTCTTTTTTTTTTTTTTTTGGTCAACTTGGAACTTTGATAGAAGTTGCATGAAGAACGTCATTTTTTTACAATTATTTTTTGCCGACTAATAATTTTTGCAAATAAAATAAAATTTCGTTCAAAGTTCGATCTCTATGCAAATTTTGTTTTAAATTAAAATAAATTAATTAATCGCGTTGATTCAAAAAAAAAAAAAAGTGCAGCGATTAATAAAGCCTTGTGATTAATTTACGTTTCGTATTTCCATTTATTCCTGCCTTGCAGGCTATTTTATAATAACGTTATCCCTTTTATTTTCATTTCTATTATCTCTCAGAGATAATATGCAGCGTCAGACGCGTTCTATATATATGTTTAATCATTGAAAAATGACTGACGATAGAGAAAGGAGAACTCACCGCCACGCGGCTCTCCTTTAATTCGAGTCTCACAGCCAGAGCTTCTCGCATAAAGACGTCGGGATAATGACTCGACAGGAAGGCCCGCTCCAATTCTTCCAACTGCCAACTGTTGAAGTTAGTCCTGCTTCTTCGCCTCTTGTTCCCGCCCTCGTCCGACTCCCCGTCGCAACCTGAAGAAAAGAGAAGACGCGGACTTTAGAAAAATCTGGATCGGTAAAAAAAAAGTGAGACATAACGATTTCATCGCTCGAATAGCAATATCAAAAATTCCAATATTTTAGAAATTATTTTCTTCACAGTTAAAACATTTGTGTTAATTCAATATAATATGGATATGTTAAATGGAGACACGAACACTGTGTTAATATTTTAATACAAAATAATAATACTAAATAAAATGTAAAACTTCAAGAAATTTAAAATAACTTTTGTATAAGATTAACACAGTTTTAATGTGAAAATTAACCAAAAATATGTTAACTTCAGATTCTATCATCCCTAATTATAAAATAAAAAATTAACATTTTTTTTCTGTTAATTTTAACATCTCTTTAAAATCTCTCTCATTAAAAAACAGAATATATTTATTGTGTAAAATTAAAAATAGACGCTTATTGTCTTATTTTTACACTTAGTTTAGTTGTATTAATAATTTAACATTTAAGTTCAATTAACATAACAGCAAAAATTTTGAATAAAACGCCGTTTTTAACATGGGGACGCCGTTTTCCCACTGTGAAAAATTCGAACACGAAAAAATAGCTACCATAGTTAAATTTTAGCTGTTCATATACAACACATAAAATTTAGTTATACCTAAATTTTAGCTATGACAGTTAATATTTTTTAGCTATAACATTCTCCGTTAAGCTATAGCTAAAATTTAGATATATAACTAAATTTCAGGTTGGTAGCTAATTCTTTTTTCCGTGAAAGAATTTCCACAGAAGATTCAGGCATTCCGAGTCTCCCAGAAAAATCAGAATCAAAACTGTGGGAAGCTTTGAAACTCTAAGGAATCATAGATCCGCGAATTGGCTTAGAACAGAGAAATCCCGTAAGATCGCGATCTTGTATCGAGGATTCCAGTGGTCCACCACCTTCGTGAACGGTAGAGCCAAGGTATATCCCAGGTATAAACGATAACGGCGGTGCGACATGCAGCACGAAACGACGAAACACACCCGCAATTACTTAATCGGCGCGAGCTATTGTTGCCGCATTGGTCTCTTGCAGCGAAAACAAACGCAGTAGTTAGGGCTAACCGCCGCGCAATAACGCGGCTCGTTGTTGCGCCGTTGTTGTTGTTGCTGTTGCGGTAACGGTCGACGCGCGCGTTCTCCGATAATGAAGTTAACCATGTAGTAAAGTGTGCGCGCCTCTTCAATCTTCTCCTCCGATCGAGCAGCTGCATCGGGGCGCGCGCTCGCTTTCGTGCTCGCCACTTTGCCGATGTAAATCGATGAATTCGCACACGCACGTATGTACACTTCGCTACAGACCCACAACCGGCCGATCGTGCCATTTATTCTCCCGTACTTGTATTATATGTATATGGACGTAGTGTCAAGCCGAGCATGACGCGGAGAGATTATAGCGGCAATCATCATTGTTCATAGACATAATCTAACAACATAATTTCTAACCCGAAGAGCCCTGGAGAACGCGAATTTCGATGAAAGACTGAATTTCAAACTGCTCCGACTTTTACAGAGATTGGTATTACTCGATTCCGAAATCTAATCCGTTAATTACATCGGTTTACTTTCAATATACCTACGCTGAATTTTCGCAAGTCTTTTTCTCTGTACTTTCGATTTCCAGGTTGCGATTCTTAATGCGAGGTTAATTTTACGATACTTATTCTGCGTATATATTTCTTATCGCAAAAATAACTCTATTATTACTTCCTCTTATTATTATTAATTATCGAAAAAAGGAAATTACGATTACATGCTAGTGAGTAATCTTCTCTTTTCAAAGATTAAGCTTGACGATCGATCGGTTGGATCGTTGAACATCCATGGGCAACGAAACGTTATAATTTGCGGCAGCCTATCTCGCGTGTGATCGATATCGATATCGAATTAAGTACTGTATACTTTCGACGGGAATTATTATGTTCGTGCGACACGAAAATGGAGGACGACGTCGAATGGCGAACGATCGCGAATTTATCTTAATTTCGCGCCGTTTGCTAACGTGCGGCGCAAGGTAAACATTTCGTCGAGTGAGAATTGGATCTTTATATAAAATGACTTCAAGCACGTAATCTATAATATATAGAAAAAAAAAATTACCCCATAAAATTGAAATGAAGCAATCAACCGATCAGCTGATCGGATGTTACGAAAAATACAGTATATAGAAAGGATGAAAAAAAATTACCCCGCAAAATTAAAATAGCAATCAGCTGATCAGCTGATCGGATGCTACTAAAAATTGTGCGAAGCAAGCCGACAAAATATATGTATATAAGGAAGAACACAATTGTGGGTACAACAGAATATTATAAAAAAATAATTAATCTTTATTTTATCATCTATCAGAAAAAAATATTATTTCGCAAAATTGAGACAACAATCAACTGATCAGCTGATTAGATGTTACGAAAAATTACGCGAGCAAGACGAAAAAATTTATGAGGAATTAAATCAGAAAGGATGAAAAAATTACTCTGTAAAATTGAAATAGCAATCAGCTGATCAGCTGATCGGATGCTACGAAAAATTGTGCGAAGTCGACAAACTCTATATAAGGAAGAATATTGTGGGTACAACAGAATATTATAAAAAAATAATTAATCTTTATTTTATTATCCATCAGAAAAAATAAAATTGAGATAACAATCAACTGATCAGCTGATTAGATGTTACGAAAAATTACGCAAGCAGAGGAAGAAATTTATGAGGAATTAAATCAGAAAGGATGAAAAAATTATTCTGTAAAATTGAAATCAGCTGATCGAATGCTATGAAAAATTACGCGAAGCGAGACGGGACTACAACATAAAATTGTGGATAGAATATTATCCAAAAAAAAATGATTAACCTCTATTTTATTATCCACCAAAAGGGATGATTCGATGACGCCGAGCAATATTGCGCAAAATCCCCTCGGTATTGATTAAAATGGCGGTCGGTTCCGGGCATTTCGAGGAGCGAGAGCAGCCCGTACCCATCGAAAATCGTTTCCCATCTTATCTAGGCACGCGCGAGATAAGACGCGCAGAGAAGCGTCCCGACGTATTGAATAAACATGGAATTTCAGTGATTTTACGAGGACGATTCGCGATATCTCCGGCCGGGATCGGCGGTTCCATGCATGCTAATGGCCGGAATTGAATAAAAGATCGGGAATTATGATTGACCGCGCAATACCGGAGCCCTCCCTCTCGGGTTATCTCGATCGTCGCGAAACGAGTCGAAACGAGACGAGAGGATCGACTCTCGACCGACGTCGCTTCATCGGGGAAATCCGGGCCTCGCATCGTTCCGATGTGAAATATATTTTATTTTTACACACGATTTTTCGTCATTAACCCTTCTGTCAACGAACGGGTGGATAAGCAATTTTTTAAGCGTCGAAAATTTTCTCCGCTCAAAATAAAATAAAATGCGGCCTCTACATTCGGAAACCTTCTAAAATGTAAGGAGAAAAAACATTTGATGCCCAGCAGCTGCTACAAAAAATTGTCACGTATCAAAAACATATATTAATTAGGTACAAAATCGAAAAGGATTAAATTTAAAAATGGAAGCCGAAGGCTTGATACACAATTAAGTTCATAATTAATATAATTTATAAAAATTAAATTTTGCCGACGAGTTGAAAATGTCAAAGAATGTAAGACTTATTTCGATCGGCCAATTAAGATTTTCCGATGGCAGGTAGAGATTGTTTGCGAATCGGCTCGTCGTTGAGGTGGCCAAAGGCAGTGAAAAATCGCGAGGGTTGGGCATTAATCAGCGTAATTAGATGCTATTTATCTGGCCCTCGTCTCGCTTCTCTCTCTCTCTCTCGCTCATTATTGATAATCTATAATCCGTAATAAGCGCGCTCTCTGGCGCAGTGGCAGGTTGAAGGATCGTCGCCAATGATAATACCTTTATCGTGTCAATGCCGGCCAATCACACCGAGCTCACTTGCACCGAATCTCATAATGGAATATAAGCGACGGTAATTAATAACTCGGAGCGCGAACGAATGGCGGACGAATCTTCTCTTTTTTTCGCAATTACGCGTATAATTAAAGTGTACACGCGAATATTTCGATATTATTTAGGGATCACGGTGCAAAATTTAGCACTGTAAGACACGCTTTTACGCACCTTGTACAATCTCAGGATGTCAGATTAAATGAAAATAAAATTTCCCGACTTTTTCAGATTTTCCAAGACCAGAATTTGCATATATCTATATGATAAATCAATTAAATGTTAAATCATGAAATTCTTGAGATATTTCTGTCAATAATGAAAAGGTTCGGAAGTTAAAATAATAAAAATTTTAATCAATTATACAATCTGCATTATGTACGATAATCGAAACAAACATGTCACTATAAACTATTTAAATAATCACCTTTTTCATTTATATTAAGCATATCAAACTTTTTAATTTTGTCAAACACATTGAAATAAAATAACACGACGATGAAAATATAAATAAATGAACACGTTGTAGATGAATCGATTTTTAACACAGAAAATTAGCGTGCTGGCAGTCAAGGAAAAGTTTATATTTATTTAATAAAAAATTTCAATTACTGAGACAAATGTACAGAGAAAATTTTCTCTTGAAATTTACTCTGAAAATCATGGTAATCATGACAATATGGTATTGGAAAAAATTTATTAAAGTTTTTCTGATTAATAAAAATATTAATATCCACCATAACAAGATATAAATACTCGATTAATTTTACTATGTACATAGTAAAATTTACTATGTACCTATTAATATTTTATTGTGCCAAATATTAATCAGAGAAACTTTAATAAAACTCTTCTAATACCACATTGTCCCATAATACGATATAAAATATATTTGATTAATTAATAAAATATGTATATAGTAAAATTTACTATGTATCTATTAATATTTTTTATTGTGCTAAATATTAATCATCTAATAAAATTCTTCTGATGGATTTTCAGACCAAATAGAT